TGCAGCACTGATCTTATCAGTTCCCACAAGATAAGCAGGTTCACGCCTAGGCGCTACCTCATTGGGGGACTGCCAAGGAAAGACCAAAGTGGTGAAGGAAGTGGTGCTGGTGGTGTTGAATGAGTGCCCAAAATAGCACTCAGGGGAGATGCAAAACCAGGTACCTCCTGCGCACTTCGTGACTATTAAAAAGATACATGGACACTTCTGGTACAGACTCCAACCAGGGTAAAAGTCTGCTTACCTCAAATCCTTCTCACAATGTCAGTGGGATACACAATATTCTCCTCATCCTACACTGCTGCTGCTGAACAGCAGAGGTGTTCAACCCCAGAGGTGGCTGCATCACGGTGATGAGCAGAATGTGACTCCTGCATGGGCCAAATCTGTAAGCGCTCCCATCTGAAAGGCCCTATTAGAAACAACCCCTTTCCTAGCCAGCTTGCTTCATGCACGCAGGGCAGTGCTTTAGCTGGATGCCAATGAGGGCAAAAAGAAGAAGACTGATTGAACACTAACTTCTGTCAGGTAACATGCAGCCCAATATCATTATTATTCACATGCATTGTGTGTGAAAATAACCTAGTCTGCTTTTAGTATAACCTGTTATTCTTGAGGTGGTCAGAATAGGCAGAAATTAGCTCACAAAAGGCTTCCATTGCACCTAGCCCAATTGCCCAAGGAGATTTTTAAAACCATCAGACGGGACAACACGCCTAGCCAGGAGGTTGTGGTTTCAAGCCCAGTCATACCCAAGTGCTGCAATATATCTACAATTCTTGTTTCCAGCAGTTGAATCTAATTACAGAACCAGCTGCGTTCAGGTATTTTTTTTAAAACCTTTTACAATAGATCCTGCCTGGAATAAAGGATTTAATAACAGATTCCTTCTGGGGTAAAAAATAGATCCGTTACTTGTTCTAATGTAAAGCCGTTATCTTGGGACAGGAGTTAGGAGAGGGGCACTCGAAGTTTCAATGGCTTGGTAACAGGATAAAAAGCATTAACTTCCCTTGGCACCCAGTTCAGATCCAGCCCAGAGCAGCACTGGTCAATAAACTACCCCTTGATGTCTGTTTTGGCATTGGCAGGTTAGCTTCCCATCAGACACATGACTATTCCTGAACCCCTTCATTGCTGGACTTGGGTGGATCAACAGTAGGGATTGAACTTGGGGCCCTCTGGGGATCTTAAAGCATTAGCCTCTTCTAGCTGAGCTAAAAGAGCCCATTTTGTTAGCCAAAGCTCCTTGATCTCAGGCCCAGCCTTCCCTAGAAGGGGACAGAGCACCATACTGAGTGGGTCGGGAAACTCAACAGTGAAGCTAAGGGCTGAATGGGCTGTGGAGACAGAATTCCCCTTCTGTTCCTGGAGGTGGTCCCTGCACATCAGGGTGAAGGAGCCTTGCACTGCCTTTGGAAAGGAGGATATAAGCCTGGCTGGTGGACGAGGTGGAGGTGGCCGAAGCACCAAACCAAACTGAAACGGGACTGCCTTGCAGACAAGTTTCCCCAACCATCTCTATCAATTTATCATGCCCTTGGCTTGGAAAGTCCATCCTTGGGCTAAAGACAAGAGCTCTTTGCATGTGCTTAGCAAGACAACAAGGAGTCCAGTGGCATCTTAAAGACTAACAGATTTATTTGGGCATAAGCTTTCGTGGGTAAAAAACCTCACTTCTTCAGATTCATGGAGTGAAAATTACAGATGCAGGCATTATATAATGACACATGAAGAGACAGGAGTTCTCGCAAGTGGAGAACCAGCGTTGACAGGGCCAATTCAATCAGGGTGGATGTAGTTCACTCCCAATAATAGATGAGGAGGTTTCAATTCCAGGAGAGCAAGACAATCACTTTAAAAATGACCCAGCAAGGGGGGAAATAATGGGATTTTGCCTTTTAGTATAATGGGTATGATCAAGTGTCTGATGTGTTCGGTCTTTTGGCCCCGAGATGAAAACCTTGTCTGTGTCTTTGAGACCATGAAGCACAAACATTTCCTCCTCAGGAATATCAGAAGTATCCAGTGCTCCACTTCCCAGTTTTAGTTAGAGGTCTCCTTGGATGACTCAAGAGAGCTGGGTATGTTCAGAAGCCATGTATGTTCAGGGGCTCTCTCAGCCCCTAATTGAAAAGGCCAGGGTGTGGCCTCACCACAAAGATGGACCTCCCAGATATCTAGTTAAACACATGAAAACAAACACTTGAGTTTTAAGCAGCCTAGATAAAAATCACTTCCCCTCTCAGCTAATCAGATTTCACTTCCTTGAGCCTTCTCCAGATGATCACAGAGTCTTCAAGGGTAAACACGATCTTAATTTGTATGGTAGAAGACCACAGATTTTCAAAACACAACAACAAAAACAAACGGTTAAGCATTTTTTATGCACAATACTAAAGGAAAAAGCACACTGTCAGATTTTTTTCTTTTCTTTGGCAGGTCACCTTTACCAAATGAGACTCCTCAGAGGTAATATCTTCAAATCCTAGTGGTAGCCAGAGAGGCTAAGTCAATCTTCATGGAAAAGCAACTCCCAGCAAGTGATCAAGCTAAATGAGTGAGATCTGGAAGCTTTGATTTCTGACACCCCACTTTTGGAGGTAGGGATATCATCACCCAGCATACGAGAAGGGATACCATACACCTCATGCAGCAAGCTGTGCACTGGTTGGCTAGAGCCTTCCACTCCAGAGGTGGAGATACTCATTTCAATGACACTGCACACACAGTGCACCTTGTAAAGCATTTTGTGATCTCGAGATCAGGTATGAAACCTCTAGACTCCTTGGGCCCACAGATTCAAAGCCTGACAGGGTCAGCTTCAGAAGTAGATATGTAAAGTTCAAACTGTTTATTGTGTTGGGGTCTTTCAGATAAGACCTTAAAAACTCAGCTCCTGTGTGGCCCTGTGGCCATTTACTTAATTGATTGCCCTGGTGTCCCTGATCAAAGCACTCATTGTTATAGATGGCAGTTGACATTCACCCCAGAGGTGGCTGCAGCTCAGTGGTGCTCTATATTTATTTATAGTTTGTCTAGAACCCCTTGGCTCGGAAGGTGCTATATAAATGTAAAGACAATACACTCTAGCCACAGTCTGGATATATTTCGAAACAATCCTTAACTAATAACTGAGCATTCTTCACCTTATAAGATCTCACCATATGAGAAGTTCAAGTTGCAAACTTTGGATCTGGGGATCAAACAAGGTCAGGAGCGTTTGAATTATCGTTATTTCAGAGGGTCTGTCTTCATTGCACCACCAACCTGTTCTAGTAGCCAAAAGGTTTGCCATGGAAGCAGCAAGGTAGTTCAGCTTCAGAAGCTGCAGCTTCTAAACAATGTACATTACTATGTATGTGTGATGCCTCAAAACAGCTACACTACTTCCAGCAATAATGCATACGTTACTCTATCCATTTCAACCCGGACTAGATTTTGTTTAAGTTTGAAATTAAGACACACGCTGCTAACGGTCTGATAAATTACTCAGCAGGCCAAATTCATTCCTGAATGGACTGCTGCAGTTACACCAGGGATGAATTTGGCCCAGCATGCAGAAAGAGGACACTTTTAAGGAGGTGACAGGGAGAAGTGACCGAGATCAGGAGCATGAGCCGGCCAAGAATTAACAGTCACACAGTTTGTGATGACAAAGTCTGCAATAAGCAGTGCAAGGTTAACAGAAGAAATACAGCCTATATTCCCCTAATGATCACTTAAGACCAGCCGCCAGCTTTTTAATATAGAAGACAGTTTCCCAGACTTGCCCAACCTTAACCAATTATTCTCACAATGGCTTTGAATGGGATATTTAGAATGTCAGCCCGATTGTTCTAATTCACCCTCCCAGCCATCCCCCAGTTTTTGACAGGTTTGTTCCTCCATTGCTATAGTGACTGCCGCCCCTAATGCTTGTGATCAAAGAAGTCACATTTTCGAGGTCATCTACATTTGAAACAAGGGACATTTTTGTGTGTGTCCGAGAGAAAGGGACTGCGTGATGGAGGAGGTTACTCCCTCCTTTCTCACCGCTGCAGTTTCCTTTCATTCTGTCCTGCTCCTAATCCCAGGCCCTGCTTTTAATTCCACCCCCACCCCCATCACTCAATGCGAATTCTCAGTGGCTGTATCTTAAAGGGTTTCTGGGATCCCTGAACAATTGACCTGCAACTTTTTGCAGCCTTCAGACTGGAATGATTCTCACTGACACTTCCTGGAAAGGGTCTACCCTGCAGGACTGGTTCACTTCCTATGCCTGGTAATATAGCATTAGTAGGCATTAATGTATTAGACATAGTCTATGCTGTTCTTTTACACAAGGATCCTACTACATACATCTGCCTTCAAGCATTATTACTACAGTCTCAAATCCTTCCCGACAACACACACAGCTATTCCTGACAGAGATTGTCTAGCTACACTAGGACTTTTCTGACCTGTAATTCCCAATGTGTGCAGTTTCCCCAGTGGAAGCTGTAGTGCAGATAGGGCTCACACATACTCAGGTGCTAAGACCACTGTGTCATCTAAGCCTGCTTCGGCATCGTATCCCACGCTCAAAAAGTGTGCGTGCAACAGACGCACACTAATGATATTGGAATGTTCGTATCAGGATGGCGAATTGACTCGGGGCTACCCGGATATCCCTTTGGAAGCTAACAGCTGTTTTTGAGCAAGGATAATTTGTACACTTAAAATAAACTTCCTGCCAACCAGGTGCCTTAATAAATGTTCAGAGGCTACCAGGATGGGCACATTAGTAATGCAAGTAAATAAAACAAACAATCAGTCAACATCATACCTAGTATTCTGGTCATTTGAGGGGGTGGGAGGATGAGAAATCATGCCACAGAAAGAAGATTTTAACACCTCGCTCTTGCAAGAGGAAGGGAATTTGTTAAAAGACTGGTTGGATCAATGAAAAAATAATCCAACCACACATATCCAGAAACTACTCAGTGCAATGACTACACATGGGTTACTTTAATACATACCTTGGGATGCCCGTGCAGTTCTTCACTGTTGGACAGGGTTGCATTGAAGGGCTCTGTATATTGATTGGGCTCTTTCATCTTCTTTCTCTCTCTCTTTGCTGCCATCACTCGAAAGAGAGAGAGCTGCTGGCACAGTAAAGTTGCCACAAGTAGCCAGATCCAGCCCCTCATTTTGGCTTCTTTTTAGAAGGGGGTGTTGAGTCGAGGCTGAATACTCTCCAGGAGCAAAACGAAGTAATAAATATGGATGTCTCTTCCCCCACCCCCCTTCTCTTTCTTTCTTATTGAAGTTACTTCTGTTGAAGATGATCCACTCTGGTAGACGATGTCAAATCATCAGCACGCGCCAACGCGCTTGTCTCTGGAGAGATCCTCTGTTCAAGTTGGATACCTTGAACCGACATGGATCTATTTGTTTGCGAATTCTGATCCACAGTCGCAGTTTGATCAGGCAAAGCGGGGGAAGAGGGAAGTCAGTCTGCTCAGCCCCACAGAGCTTTCAGAAATGGAAACTGACTAGGAGATTTCCCCCCAACTCTGCCTTTAAAATTTTACCCCACCCCCACCAAGTCTTCAGATCTCAATTAAAATTCACTCAACTATGAAACCTAGAAAGTCAAATGGCTCAGGGCAACTGTAGCTCAGGCCAGAGCTGACAGCACATAAGCCCAGGAGGGGGGTTGTGGGTTTGTTCCTTTTCAATGGGAGATTTCACCTTCTGTCATTTAAACCCTTGTGCACAATTCAAAGGGTGCTCAATGGGGTCTGCCCATCCTCAGCTTAGTGATGGGACCCCTTCCTTAATGACCAGCCCCCATCAGTTCTCTTTTCCTTCATCAATGCTGGACGACGAAACCCCAAAGCTGCTACAATCGCTCTTCCCCTGGAGATGGAGAACGTGGCAGAATCCAACCAGGGGCTCAGTCCTCTAGGGAGAGAGCTGATCTCTCGCACGCATCAAGAGTTAAAATTGGGAGAGAAGGAATCCGAGGAGGTACCTAGGTCTATTAGGAGCAGACAAACTTGTCCCAAGCCAAACCCTGTCTGGCTTTATCTTTCCTTGGCTTTAATAAGAGAACAAGCAATCAGTTCCAGTGTTGTAAACAGCTGTCAGGATGTGGAGTCTTGTGTCTCCCATCCTAGCTCCTTTCCACACTATGCAAGATTTCAGGTACCTCTCTCTCTAAGTTTCGATCATCTCTGATTTCTCTCGGTGCTCCTTTTCCCAGCTGCAAATTGGCAAAGCCTTCCTCAGCCTTTGCTCTACCTCAGCAAATAAGTAGTTCTTTCCTGAGAGTGTTTCCATCAACTTGAAGGAAAAAAAAAAAGAGGGAGGGATCATTCTAATGAGCTGTCAAGCCTATTCTCTTCACATTCCTATTAGAGACGCCCTGTAAGTGGACCTGGCCCTTGTGCCAGGAAGATTTAAATCAGCACCCCCCACCGCACTCCCCTTCATTATCTCAGGAATCGCAAAACTGGCCCGGGAATGTGGCAGTGTTAGAAGTATGTGGCTTTGAATATGCACTCAGCATCACAACACACACACACACACACATCCAGATGTCAGAGCTCAACTTTTACTCTCTATTCAACTTCGCTCCATACAAACGTTTTTTTCCAGACCCCCTCGGATTCACTGTGTCTTTAATAAAGGCCGTGTCGCCATTCCCCATTGCCCTCCTGAGGAAGATCTCAAAGCACTTGGCATACGTGTGTGGGCATGTTGTGTTAACCAATGCCGTGCAAGCTAGGGAATAACCGTCCTATTTTTTACGGATAGGGAAACTGAGGGACTGACCAGTGAAGTGGCACAAAGTCGCACAGCGAGGCAGCAGCAGAGCTAAGAATAAAATTCAAGATGCCCTGACTCCCAGTCCTCTCCTCTATCCACTAGACCATAAGGCACTTCCATTTTCCCGAGTCTGACTCCCTTTTCATGACTGGGATTATCCCCCAAGTAATACTACTTAGCACTTGCTCAGCACATTTAATCACAGATATTAAAGAGCTTTACAACGGTTGGCCAGGATCCATACTCACCACTTTGCAGATGGGGAAACTGAGGCATAGCGCATCAAAGCAACATTCTCCTCCCCACCCCAAATCAGATGGTGAGTCAGTGCCAGAGCTGGGAGCACAAACCCAGATCTTTGAAACACAGAGATAGAGAAGCTAAACAGTTAACAAGCTATCACCTATCCCCCTCACCCCCCCCCCCACTGGCTCACATTCCATCAAAACTATGTGGCAGTCTTTATTTGTTAATAATATTTAACTTTCTTTGGCGCCTTCTCATACTTAAGCCCCCTTTTCAGGTTAGTTGTAGACAAGCCATGAATTTGTAAAAGTGCACTTGATGACACATTAATAGGACAATCTGTCATATTGCAGCTAAACAGCCCTGACAGATCCACACACCATGGCAAGAAATGACATTCTCGAGGCTGGAGCGGGGCGATTTCTTTTTTGGTCTGCCGGTGCAGGCTGTGCTGGGCTGCATGCAGTGTCCCCTTTCTCATCCCAAGAGCCAGATGCTGAGGGCACCCTATGCCCATGGGAAATCTGCTAGGGGCTTGGAGAAGGAATCCTACCCTCCCACCCCGAATCATCAGCAGATGCTACTAATCCCCTATGTGCCTTTCTCCACAATGGACTGACCCGCCCCCACCAACCCCTCTTGCTGCTGCAGACACACACAAGCAGCCTGCCCCACTCAGTATAAGAGCACCCCAGCAGTCCCATGGCATGAACCTTGTGCACCAGGCAGACATAGGACAGAGTCCACTCAAAGCAGCACCATGCCACCCACCCAAACAGAACCGCTTTGCATTTCGCAGCACCTTCCAGCCACGGATCTCAAAGCGCTTGAAAACACAAAGCCTCATACCCACGAGGTAGGCAGCATTATACCAACGTTACACTGGGGGAAACGCACACGCAAGAGTGAAGGAAGCCACCCACTGGTACGTAGTGAGTGAATGGCAGAGCTAGGAATAGAAGCCAGGAGTCCTGGCTCCTAGTCCCCAGCCATTATCTATGGGATTTCTAATGGTGAGGATTTGGAGCCAGCCACATTAGCTTCTCAAATGTTGGGGAACTTAGAAATAGTATAGCTAAACATAGCTAGCAAGCGACAAGCTAAGAACATGCATTGTCAGACGAGTAGGTTACTGCATATTAAAGCCACGCAAACTAGTTGAAAGGGAGAAAATTTTCCCAGATTTACCCCCTTCAGAAATCGGACAGTCATGTGCTCTGGTCACCACACCCGTCTCCCTGAACCATATGAATCTTTACCTCTGTGATTCAGCTTTACTTTCAAAGTGACTTTATCTTGTCAACAATAACAGGATGGCAATTTCCAAATCTCAAAAGGTATGAAGACATTTGGAATCCCCCAGGCACTGCTGGCTCCAGATATAGTCAATGAGGCCTAGACCCTAGGCCTGGCTGCTAATGATCATGTTTTCCATATGCTAATGCGCTAGTGGGCCCCATCCATACACTTCTGCAGGTGCCAGGTTACACTGTTGCTGCATGGACTATATAGATCTAAAGGATAATAACTTGAATCAGCCCTGAAAGCAGTGCTCAGGTCTTTGGCTTACCAATGCCCATATCCCCTTGTTTAAACCCAGTCACAATTTGGGTGCTTACACAAACAGTTTCACAGTCCTAGGTCAAAGGGTTATAGAAAGTCAGAAACAAACAGCAGCTTTAAAGAAAGGTCAAGGATTTGGGTTGCTGCAATTGCCTTTCATAACATACTTTAGCATGACAGAATACGCCACGTTCAATATTTCGGGAAGTCTCCTTCCATGGACCCTTTGTACACTTCTAACGTAACACCCTTATATTCTCCAGCCAGCTGGTTCCAGATCTCATTTAGAAAGACCTAGATGGTGTTACAGCGCCACCCGCTGACAAAGCACAATTCAAAAGGCACATCTAAGCCAAGACTGGCATTACTCTAGAGTTTCCTTATTCTGTTCCCTTAAAATCTGATCAGGAATGTGGCATAGGGAGAAGGACTGACTTAGAGAATCTCAGTGAAGGGCTCCACATTTTTATTTTATTACTAATTGTCAAGCCAACAAAATCAGATGGGATGTTTTTAAAAGTTATAGGAGCAGTAGGGAAAGGTGGGTTGTGATTGCTTTTGTTTGTTCCCAAGTAACTTTAAAAACAAGCTGATTTAAATAAAAGAAATAAAGGGACCATTTGCAAGCAATTAATGAATAGCGGAGTCTGATGGCTTTTATCATGTTACAAGAAAGAATCCGGCAATTTCTCAATTTCAAAGCTACTGTAAGATCAAGAAAAAAATTAAATTATATAGTACAATTATGTACTAAATACATAATTACACACCAGGTCAGAATTGTTCATTATGGAAATGGGACATACTGGGGGGGATATTTAGGGCCCAGTCCAACTCCCATTGTCTTTCCATCTTCACTGAACCATTAACCAAACTGGAACAATCCTGTGATACGAGGGGAGGGAGTTAAAAACCCTGTGTAAACATTTACTCAGTAAACCAGAATAGCATCAAAAGATCTGTTCCCATCTCCTGGATGTATTACACATTAAAAAATTTTTTTACCTAAGCAGAGACTTCTCTGATAAACGGGAAGTTTCAGCATCTGGTGAATGTTATTTTTATGATTTTTTATGACTTTTTTAAAATTCCAGCCTTTTGATGGGAGCACGCACAACCTACGAACAAGGAATTTACAGTGAGGCACTATTCCTTCCATACCAGTTCCTTTGCTGTTGTTTGGTTCCATAGATGCCAACAGGTGAAAGCAATTAGCAGGGATAATTGGAAGGTAGAAGATGGACACACTTTTAGCCCCTCTGAAATGCAATGAAATAGATGGATTTTCCAGTGTGACTGCAGGAAACCATTATGTCTTTCTTAAAATGGAGACTGTCCTTACCAAGCAGGAACAGTTCGGTGGCATCTGCAGCTTCCGTATCCTAATGATTTTCTTCCTCTCTGCAGCAGGCAGGTGGGTGAAGATCAGTTTCTCACATCCTCTACTTCCTCTCTCTTTCTGCAACTGAAACTTGCCATGTTATGTTGTAGTTGTGTGTCACCAGTGCCCCCTACTGGCTAGATTCATATCTAAGCATTCATACAGCTGCAGCAAAAGGAAAATTATTCCCCCCTCCCATTTGTGGCAAGGAGGGGTACAGGTTTGAAGAATGACATGAGGGGTTATCCTCACACAAGACCACAAAATTCTGGGAGGCTACAGCAAGTGATATAGTTATGACTATACATTTCACCCCAGAAGCAGGCCTTGTTTTGGCATGTGGGTATTGGACTCAATGACCCGTTGGATGCATTAATTTATCTACCAAAAAAAGAACAGGAGTACTTGTGGCACCTTAGAGACTAACAAATTTATTAGAGCATAAGCTTTCGTGGACTACAGCCCACTTCTTCGGATG